CAGCATTTTTGTGATAACATTCGGAACGCGAACTGCGGCGTTGAACAGCAGTTATCATAACACAGCAATGTCGGCTCATTTTTGAGGTAACGACACACCATGAAACAACTGTGATCTGTCCCGCCCGATCCAGCATTTGCTAAAACTCCACTGCGGGAACTCGAATTACCCATAGCTTTTGAGTCAAGTGGGGTTCCCATCAGAAGGAGAGCAGTTGTTCACGACTTTCGTTGGGGTTACGTGACAACTGAAACCTTTGGCCTATTTATGCGTGAGTTGAAATGGGAATGGTCAGAGAGGTCACAAACCCGTGCAGACGTGAGAGCGCAGAGAAAAGCAGAAAGTTGGGGCCATCAAAGGGACTGAGTGTTGTTTGTCCGTAGACCTTTCGTGTGGTAGGGACTTGTTGGGAAATATCTGCTTTCTGAGTCTGCAATCACTGGCGAGAAAAGCTGCGCTCCAAGCCACGCCTCCGTCACACGCCCTATCGCTTGCTGAGACCATGACTGTACAAATCTGCGCAATCTTTCGCGAACTATAAACGCTGCTTTTTGACATAGAATGAACTAATATAAACCTGTCTTTCTTCCGAACCGCTTCAATTGTACTAATTCCTTCTCAAGAGGATTGAGGGGTACATTATGTTCACGTTTCAGATGAGCTGCAACATCCAAACCTAAAAAACGACAATTTCAGTGCGAGATTCTCGTTTGTTGAACCCTTGAATATAGTTTTGCTGACGCCAGACGAACAATTCTTTCTGTCTAATCTTTCATGTGAGAAAAATTTGGTACTGGTCGGCTCAGGGAGGGGGTGGGATTTTGCTGGTTCATGATGATCGACTTATGAACAGAAGGCGAGCCGTTTCGTTGTGGACTCTGGCAGGCTTACATCCCCCTTCAACGTCTTCCCCGCCCCTTACAGTCAATGCCACAATTTCGTAAAGAGACGGGGGGGGGGGGGGAACTCCGAAATAGCGGAAAGTGGTGGGAAGTTGAGAAGAGCTAAGAAGACAGTGGATAAAATGGGGATGGAGAAAGGGGTGTGGGTCCGTACCAGTGAAGACAGTTTGGAAGGGGGGGGGGCGTAATTTGTAAAACTTACCTGCCGGAGCAGGACGTGTCCTGCTTATGAAACTGGTGCAGGTGAGCTAGTTCCGTTACAAGCAATTACAATTCTTCACAAAATGCCTATACAAGGTCCGCTGGATGCCCTAATCAAAACTGGCGTCAAACCTGTCGCATGGTAAATTTACCATTCATTGGCTATGGTAATGGCCCTGCTAGAAGTCCGAATAGAAGTAGGAGTGCGTCAACATCATTTTGGACGACATCGTCATATTGGTAGAGAGCTTCTGAGGGCTGATTCATGTTAGACGATCAGCATCGTTGAACACGAAAGCCCCGGCAATTGCAACTCAGTACAGGCCAGCTGAAACAGTAGACATTTCTAGCCTTTGATGTTACATACTCAGCACTGCGGCACTACCAGAGGGGCAGAACGTAGCGCTGAAAGTTTGGATAGAGGCGCTTGTCTGTTCACCAGTCATGCATGGTTCTTTAGCTCCCTCTATAACTAATTAAGTACCATAAATCCAAGACCGAAGATAAACTTGGTGTTCTAGCAATATTAACCGCAACCAGTTGGTCGGCAATCGTCCACACGTGCAGCTTTTCACCATGAGTTGCTTCCTTCCTGCATCGATCATTACTCGACACCATTGGTAGAGCAAGGCAACCGTGGGCGGGCTCATGCCGCGCTGCGTTCGCCGCCCCGATTCGTTGCGATGTTATGAACTACATATATCTCTTTAAAGGCACAGTTCGGGCTGGTCCATGGGCGGGGTTAGACCCACCGTAGAACTTCTTCGGTGGCTTACCCCTCCTCTTCTCTATATCAGAGAAGGAAGGAATGTCATCAAAGAGGGTACAAACCCTACCCATGCGATCACCATATTCAGTTCTTTCCAGCGACCCCAAGAGGTTTATACGAAAGTTCATCGAACTGCCACGGAAATTGATTTAAGACTCAGGTTACCTTGACATGCGTACTACATTTAAAAAAGGAAAATGGAAAAAATTACAGTAATGCTTTGGCCACGCCCAATCTCCTCACTTTGTGCTGCTTACTAGTACTTTTCGGATTTTTTTTTCTCGAAGTGGTAAACCAAATGGTAAGAAGGGAGGGACAAGGGTCCTTCTAGATAGAGTCTCTAACTGGGTGCTCGTAAAAGAAGTGCGAGCAAGAGGCATTGGTGACGTCGTCCGCGACGGCTGGATGGGCGGGTACTCACAATCGTCGTGCTTTCCCATGTGGCGATTCTCTGCTTGCCAATTAGATAAAGGTTCGTATTGATCAGGGACTATGATTATAGGTCCCCGCCCATCCATTCATCGCAGAATGAATTTGGGGAACTCCATGCGGATTCTTTGAAAGAATAGAAAATACCTTGCTCATCTGAGTGCAAACAGCAAACGCAGTGGCAACGGCTTCTGCTGAAGTATTCTTGCCATATACAACTTCCACCATCTTGATGATATGGGCCGGATTGAAGAAGTGTATTCCAACGAGGTTCTCCGGTCTATTCAGCGCTAAGCTCATCTGAATACGTTTTAGAGAAGGTGTAACAGAGCTTGGTGGAAATCTTGATAACGAGTGAGAACGCGTTCATACTTCGCGATCTGCTCGCTTGAATCCAGCCAGATTGGTCGGGCGATCCGATCGCGAAGTATGGACGCATTCTCACAGATTCTCTTCTAGATGTAGACCTTGCCTCATCGATGTTCAAGCTTGAGGTGTTCGTACCGAAGATTGTCGTAGGCGAGCAAATCTGATTAAGTTTTGCGAACAGATCAGTCTTCAACTTCATTATTTCAAAAACCGCCTCGATCACCTAAAACACTTCTTAGAGATGGTGGAAACGTTGGATGGTCAGAGGCCACTTAGAACGCTATTTTGTTGATAGTTTTCCGTTAGGAGATAAGAACGCGCCAATACGACATGCAGAAGGGTCTCAAGGACCCCGGCCAAATGGTCCGTATGTTCATTTCCTTCAAGAGCACAGTTCATGTGTGTGGTCCAGGTCGGTCCCATAAGCGGAGAGATTAACAGAGTGCCTCCCTCATCGGTTGGAAGACCACTCTCCCTCACCATGTTCAAAGCAAGCATCTCTCCTCCAAAACGGGGAAGGCGGGAACTGCTCCTGCTCGCCGCCCCAACGATCAAACGTGGATCAGTGTGAAAACAAAGGTAGCTTCACCGGGAGGTCTCATGGAAAAGCATAATCACAAGAATATTCTCCGTGCCCCGGGTGAGGCCGTTCTGCAATGTTAGACAGCGTTGGCAGGTGGTTCTGAAATCTCCCCAAGAAGAGCGGAGCTCCATGGTGCTTATCTTTTGTCAAAAGTCTGGATTCACGAAGTGGCCTATTAACGCTTCCCTGCCGTCAAAACTGCAGAATATGGGCAACTACGTGCTCGCAAAATTGCGTGTTGCCCTCCCCGCCCCCTACGCCTCAAAACGATTAAAAGTACCAGTACCATACAAAAAACGAAAAGTAAGGTCTCACAAGGTCGCAGTCCTTCAGCGTAGTCAAGTCCGTAGTGAGATGTATGCCTACAGTGAGCTTTTCACACTGATCTGGAGTGAGTCGACCCAACTTCTGCTCTCTGGCATACGTCGTTTTCAGCTCTCGACGACAATTTTCCAAACTCTGAAAAAAAAACACAATGGATATCCTGAACTGGGGGAGGGGGGACAAATAAGATTTTGAGAATCAAGCAAAAGTCACCTCGCTATCGTTCTCAACAAGTGTAGTATGGTAACCAGCTTGAGCGAGGGATATGGCAATTCCTCTTCCCATGGTGCCTGAATAGAGACTCTCTCAAGGGTATCTGCGCATATTCTAGAACTGACTGTTACTTCAAAACTACAGTCCACGTCGATCGTACAAGCGAGAAAAAGGGTGGGGCCCCAGTGTGCATTCTTGAGTGTTGTGCCCCTCCTTTGCAGAAAAAGCGAGTTGCCACTCAAAAAATCATTCAAGCGGCACGAAAACAGCTGACAATCTTCACCGGCACGATGAGCGTAGTACGTACTTCTTGAGAAAAACCCCTCAGGGGTCACTGACCACCACCAATTACGGCAACGTTCCGTACAGTGGCCGCTTTCGAATTCTGCCAGTTGCCTCCATTAGGGAGCCGCCACTGAAACGGAAGTAATAATGCATTGAAAAAAAGTGATTGAAAAAAAACAGTCATTAGACAAATGAACTCTCCACCGGGTGAGGGTAATGGGGCTAACACTGGGTGAACCGAAAAATTAAAGAATCGGAAAAAATTTTTCCGGGGCAAATACAACCCCACCCTTTGCTCCGATGATCAAGCACGCCCTTCCATTGAGAATCCCCGGCGTAGAACGTGGCGTGCACTAGGCGTGGCGTGCGCGTTTCCATAGCGAGCTTTCAATATCGAAAGCAGAGCCCGTGATTGCAATTCGAGGCTGTTCACATTCAGGTACCATTCTGGAAGTGCCAGTAACTCAGAAGTGGAGGGAAAAGGAGAAACCGCTGAAACGCCCTGAATAGCATCCTTTTTGGTTCTACGCGTTTTGTTCGTATATGGTGAGGAAGCATCGTGCGTGAGGAAAAGAAGCAAACGACGATATTGTGATATTGAGATTACACGAATCATCGAGGGTCCAGCTCTAGCGGTAGTTAGACAGAATAATGAAGGTGGAGAGCTACTGGGGGCGGAGAGCACGCATCGCTGCGGGCCTCTATCTCGCGGCAACTTGTTGAGCCGAGGAAGATGTATTCCCTCTGATTGCCGACGTGCTATTTTGTACAAAGGGAGAATCTTGCAGTTTGGAGTCAGTCCCCACGATCGAGCCACTTATAGGGGTCCTTCCTTGCATAACTAGTTTGGCCCTCTTTGGACCTCTGGTGTTCAATGACTTATCCGCATTTGCTTCACAGCCAAGTGAAGAAACGTTGGCATTACGCCTACTAATGGCACTTTCTGACCCTCCCCAGTTGTCCCCCCCCACCGCCGACTTCGAAGGCTATTTCTGTAGCATGTTGGTCTTTCCACCCGTTCCTCTTTCTAGTTCGGTTGTATCGGTGTCTGACTCGAAGAACGGTTATGTGAGCCCCGGAGGCCAGATATGATCGCTTTTGGCATAAAACGAGCAGATCTGGAAATTCATTCCAGGTGTCTCTTATGGTGTTCTCCATTGTTTTTTTTTCGCTTGTTTTTCTCCTGGAGACTTCTCTAGCGACTGCAGGTATGTAAGTGAAGGCAGCTATCCACAACATACAGTCGTCATCCGGGCAGTTGATTAGGCGGCAAAGGGGCGCAGACGCGGCTGCGGCGCGTCACGACCGCGGCGATCAGCTGTTTCCAGCCTGGTTCAGAAATTTTCCCCCTACTTCTTGCTGTTTCTGGCTCTTCTCGTGAGGTTAGTTGTTTCTTGTCCTCACAAGGTAAATAGATTATGATTGAGATTTCTCTAATTTTTGCGAGCATTAAAACAATCGAACAAACAACTAAACAAATATCTAGAAAAATCGCGAGAACACCTTGTTACAGCAACGAATAGAACGTACAGTGAAACATAGGGATAAAGTGGCTAAACAGCCTGGAAACAGCTGATCGCAGCCGCGTGTGCAACCCCTTGGTCGCCTAATCAACCGCCCGAAGGGCGACTGTACAATCCCGGGATTGCTTATAAGCAATTATGGATTTGGAGCGTTTTCCTTCAATATTTTGTTTTTCTTGGTTTTAATACACTTCAAGGTAGGATAGACGGCAGTCGATTATTGGCAACTCAACATACCTGCACGCTTTCTGCCGTGCACTTCCTTATGTATGTCTTCACGTCGTCCGAGGCATTTTTCATATCCATTCCCTATCTGAAATAATCTTTCATCTGCGTAGGGTTAAGAATCGATTGGTTTTATCAAATAAGACAGGTTTGTGGTAGTGCCTTTCTTTCAGCGGGACGCTATTTATGGTCAGATGGGACAAAGTCATGGATATTGAAACATGTAGGGCTCAAATTTTGTGGGGTTCTTTTTCGTTTTGTTTTTTTGGGTCCGAATTTGGAAGGGGCTCCAAACTAAGGAACAACTAAGCTTACCAGTCTTCCGCGATCAGCTAAATGGTGAGAGAGTTCGCGGGAAGGACATGAACATTGAGTTGCGCAACGTAGGCCATCGTGAATATAGCGGCTATAGAAAGTGCCATCAAGAAACAGCATGGCAATGCGTGGCGCATCCCAGAAAAGAGTCGATCAACGAAACTTTCCGTACATTTTACGGAGCAATATCAGAAGAAGTGCGGAGAACTGTTTACTTGTATGAGAAAACGGGTGGGACATTACATGGTTATTTTAGAAAATTTTCAGAAGCAAATGGTGCTTGTATCCCCTGGAATGAGTAGCTCTAGCGGCTGATTCTGTTCGAAATGAATCGTTAGCCTGACAGTTCGCAGTGAAGGGCCTGCCAAGTAACTGCAGCAGTTACATTATGAACTGCAGTAAGTTTGAAGAAAAATAGTGTCGCAGAAATGATAATATCTGAGGTAATGATTATCAGAGAGGTCTCCAAAAAACACTAAAAGCAAACAATTGAAATAGCAGAGCCAAGCATTGGCAATGATTACCGCCATTCCACTGCGAGCGTAAGCAATCAATCGATTGTAGCTACACTGTACCTTATCATGACGTGATCGCAGTGATGGTCAGACAAGAGGGTACAGTCTTTTCGATTTTGCTGAAAAAATTCGCTAGATCGACGTTCTATGTATCACGATTTGTAGTAACTTGTGTAATTTACTCGTTCGAATTTTCATTTTTTCTCGCTTGCGATTCGTGTTTCCTTGTAGTTTCCTGACATGCTGGACCTAAGAACTTATATTTAACTAATCAACTTATTTTTTTATCATGCACGGCGCACTACAATAGTGGTTTGCGGAATAAGCTCGTTCGGTTTTTTCAAAGAGCTTCATTTAAATGATTTGCTTG